GCCTACTTGCACATAAGCAACTTTGATCAGTTAATACTAGTTAAATGAATAATGAATGAATGAACGTAATAGAGTGTGACCTTGAGTAAATCACTTAATTGCTTTGGACCTCAGTTTCTTTCTCTGACAACTTCAAAGAATTGTTGAAAGGATCAAATAAGGTTATGTATGAAGGTGGTAGGTAAAACTGGGAGCCCTCTCCAAAGTGATTGTCTTCTCATTATTTTTACCGAGCTACTTACAGTCACCATTCAGGTAGGGCTTACTGTAGCAACTGCCCAAGTATCATCTTGATTAACCAGATAGAGAATAAAGTAAATATAATACAGCTCTGTAATTAGAAATAATCACTAGTATGTCCTGGAGACTTTGACATCTTACCCACTGCTTCATTCTCACTATTCAAAAGTATGTTATATAAATCTAATACTAGAACACCCATCAGGCTTAGGATAAAGTTTATAGAAAATGAATGTTGGGACTTCCCTGGTGGCACAGTGGTTGGGAGTCCGCCTGCCAATGCAGGGGACCCAGGTTCGATCCCTGGTCCGGGAGGATCCCACGTGCCGCTGAGGGGCTAGGCCCGTGCACCACAACTGCTGAGGCCCGCACGCCTAGAGCCCGTGCTCTGCAACGGGAGAAGCCACCGCAATGAGAAGCACACGCACTGCAGCGTTGAGTAGCCCCCGCTCACCAGAACTAGAGAAAGCCCAAGCGCAGCCACAAAGACCCAACGCAGTCAAAATAAATAAAATAAATAAATTTATTTTTTAAAAACAAGAAAATGAATGTTGTCATGCCTTTAACACACAGAAATGCATATGTATGGAAAAATGCATATGTATGATTATTGTCTAAAAGCAGAGACGGTATCTCAGGAACGCACATAGTATAAGTATGGAATAGCTAGTAGCTGTTCTCAGAGTGACCCATTGTACATGATTGTAATGAACATCTGTCCTTTTTGGCTTATCTTGTATCAAATTGTCACAGTTCCAAGCAGTGGTTACATTTTAGAGTTAATGTGATGAAATCAAAAAATCTATGAAATATTTTGTGTATTACTCAAGATAGATTCTGTGACCTTTTAGGTTTGTTGAAAGAGGAAGCTAGTGTATTGTAAAACCAGTTAAAATAATACACTTGGAAGTATAAAGTAGCATCAGCTCATAGACCTTAGGGAAGATGCCTTACTTAGTGGCCAAGGCCCCAGAATTTCAATTTGTTTAGAAATAAATCTGTATAAAAACTTATATAAGTAGAAATATTTCTCAGTCCAGTCCTCTTTAATGTAATGCCATAATAGAGGCAAAAATAATAGACTAGCACATAAACTTTCCTTTTTTTCTATTTGTAACCAAAAGCATTGCATAATCAGGCAGGAACCAGGAAGTAAAAATAATCACAAAATTAAACCAAGTGATCTGTTTTCATTATACTCCAGCAGGAGTAAAAAGTAAAGATAAACACAAGCCAGCAAGTTTCTTTATCAAATTTGAAAATTCTTTCCATGTCAGTCATACCTTAATACAATAAAAATGAAATTTTTATTAAGGCTTGTAACTCAGCACTGTCCTTTTTAAACTTTTTAAATTATGGTGAAAAATACATAACCTAAAATTTACCATCGTAACCATCTTTAAGTGTATGGTTCAGAATATTCACATTATTGCACAATAGATCTCCAGAACAAACTGAAACTCTATACCCATTAAACACTAACTCCCCATCCCCCTTCCCCAGCCCCTGGCAACCACCATTCTACTTTCTGTCTCTGAATTTGACTACTCTAGGATCCTCATATAAGTGGAATCATATAGTATTTATCTTTTTATGACTGGCTTGCTTCACTTAGCATAATATCCTCAAGGTTCTTCCATGCTGTACCATGTGACAGGATTTCCTTCCTGTTTCAGGCAGACCATTGTCCTTTTTAATGTCATTTTTATGGTACAGTCTATTCTACTCTTAAACATCTTTGCAGGTATTGTCTATGTTAACGTCCCAGAGCATGATCAAGTACAGAATGATGAGAAGCAAGTTGAAATGCACATTTGGACTTCCAAATTATCTTGTCAAGAGATCAAAAGCGGTTATAAAGTGATTAAACAATGCAGGACTTAGTTTGAGAAAAACCTTAAAGACCTTTTGCAAGCCCCTTGTATTGAAGGTTTTTAGTTGCTTTGTTTTTCTAGAAATGTATTTGACCTATTACAACTTTTTTTGAAGTATCTTCTAAAAATATCTGCTGCTGGGTTATTTTTTTTCTTTCAAGCCTGCAGACATTTTTTCTCACTTCTTCAATTGAGTTAGCTGTATTCCTGTTTGTGAATAGCACTCCTCCCCTGTTCTGTCATAGCACAGCCTTATGTTCCTACAGTTCATTAAGGGAAAGCAGTCATCAACTAGATATTGTTAGATATTGTTAGATCACAGAACCTAACAATAATAATTTTTAAAAAGAAGCAGTTCATTCATTTTCAGTCTTCTTACCTTAATTTTTTAACAGCCTTATTGAGATATAATTTACATACCATACAATTCACCCATTCAAAAATTCAGTGATTTTCAGTACATTACCAGAGTTGTGCAACCATTACTACATTCACTTTAGGAACATCTCACCACCCTGAAAAGAAACCATGTACCTATTAGCAGTCACTGCCCATTTCCCCCAGACCCCCCCAGCCTGAGAAAACTACTAATCTACTTCTAGCTCTATAGATTTGCCTATTCTGGAACTTCATATAAATGGAACCATACAATATGTGGTCTTTTGTGTCTGGCTTCTTTCCCTTAGCATAACGTTTTCAAGGCCATCCATGTCATAGTAGGTATCATTAGACTTCATTACTTTTTTTTTATTGTGGGAAAATACACATAACATAAAATTTACCATCTTAACCTTTTTTTTTTTTTGGTGGGGGGAGGGGGTGTGCCGCACCACACAGCTTTCAGGCTCTTAGTTCCCCAACCAGGAACTGAACCTGGGCCCATGGCAGCAAAAGCACCAAGTCCTAACCACTGGACCACCAGGGAATTCCCTTAACCATCTTTAAATGTACATTTCAATATTTTAAATATGTCTACATTGGTTCTACAGCCAATCTCCAGAATTCTCTTCATCTTATAAAACTGAACTCTATTCCCATAAAACAGGAATTCCCCATTTTCCTTCTCCCACCCTCTGCAACCACCATTGTATTTTGTCTCTATGAATTTGACTCCTCAGGAACCTCATATAAGTTGAATCATACAGTGTCCTTTCTTGACTGGTTTGTTCCACTTAGCATAATATGCTCAATAACCTTGTCATTCATGTCATAGCATTTGTCAGAATTTCCTTTCTACTTCTTTAACTTTTTATGACTGAATAATACTCCATCATATGGCTATACCACATTTTGTTTATCCAGTCATAAGTTGACAAACACTTAGGTTATTTCCACTTTTTGGTTATTACAAATAACAGTATTATGAACATTCATATACAAGTTTTTGTATAGACATGTTTTCAGCTCTCTTGGGCATTTACCTTGGAGTAGAATTGCTGAGTTATATGGTAAGTCTATGTTTAACTTTTTGTGGAACTGCAGAAGTTTTTCAAAAACTTTTTCACTGTACCATTTTACATTCCTACCAGCAAAGTATGAAGGTTCTAATTTCTACACATCCTCACCAAGGATACTGGAAAAAAGGATATTGTTATCATCCATCTTCTTTATTATAGCCAACTTAGTAAGTATGAAATAGTATTTCATTGTGGTTTTGTAAGCATTACCCTGATGGCTAATTTTCATATATTTATTGGCCATTTGTATCTTTTTTGACAAAATGTCTATTCAGATCCTTCGTCCATTTTTTAATTGGGTTATTTGTCTTTTTATTGTTGAGTTGTAGGAGTTCTTTATTCTAAATACAAGTCCCTTCTCAGACATATGACTTACAAATATTTTCTCCTATTCAACTTCATTATTTTGCATGTGGATATCCATTTGTCCCAGCACCATTTGTTGAAAGACTATTGTTTCCGCATTGAATTGTCTTAGCACCCTTATTGCAAATCAGTTGATCATAATTGTGACAGTTTACTTTTGGACTTGTCAGGGTTAACCTTATAAAGAGATTCTGGTTCCCATCTGATCCTTAGCCCTGGGTCCCAGTCATCCTGTCCCACTTCTTTTTACCTATCATCCCTGTGTGTGCGTATTTCTAGCATAAGGCAAGGAGATTTGGGGGCATCGATTATTTTTAGTTTAGGACTAATACAAGGTTGAGGGTTAGTCAAACTCAAAACTGCGTCTGTTAATTTAAGCTCAGATTTTTTTTTAATTTATCTTATTTTTTTTTGGCTGTGTTGGGTCTTTGTTGTTGTGCGCGGGCTTTCTCTAGTTGCAGCAAGAGGGGGCTACTCTTCTTTGCGGTGCGCAGGCTTCTCATTGTGGTGGCTTCTCTTGTTGCAGAGCACAGGCTCAGTAGTTGTGGTTCGCAGGCTTAGTTGCTGTGTGGCACGTGGGATCTTCCCAGACCAGGGCTTGAACCCATGTCCCCTTCCTTGGCAGGCGGATTCTTTTTTATTTTATTTTATTTTATTTATTTTTGGCTGTGTTGGGTCTTTGTTGCTGCACATGGGCTTCCTCCAGTTGTGGCAAGTGGGGGCTACTCTTCATTGCGGTGCACGGGCTTTTCATTGCGGTGGCTTCTCCTGTTGCGGAGCACGGGCTCTAGACGTGGGGCTTCAGTAGTTGCACCACGCTGGCTCAGTAGTTGTGGTTCGCAGGCTCTAGAGTGCAGGCTCAGTAGCTGTGGCGCACGGGCTTAGTTGCTCCGCGGCATGTGGGTTCTTCCTGGACCAGGGCTCGAACCCGTGTCGCCTGCATTGGCAGGCGAATTCTTAACCACTGCACCACCAGGGAAGCCCTAAGCTCAGATTTTAAAAATCACTAGCCAGGGAATTCCCTGGTGGTCCAGTCATAGGACTCCACACTTTCACTGTCGAGGGCTCAGGTTTGATCCCTGGTTGGGGATCTAGGATCCCACAAGCCACGTGGTGTGGCCAAAAAAATAAAATGAAATGAAATAAGTAAATAAAAAGCACTACCAGTCTTGCCAAGTGCCATGTTCCACCAGTCCTTCCTTTCATCTTGTCTTGACATCTTTGGCCCCCCATGGTGTTGTTTTGTCACCTTCCTCCACTCAGACGCTGAGGGTCATTGACTTTGCCTTTGTCAGCTGCCATTTTCTGCCCTCTGCCTCACGTGGCACAGGATCCATATTGTGGGCCCACTCTGGGCCCTTAGGGAAGGCACCTGGCAACATCAGCTTAATTTTTACGTCCACTTTTACATGACAACCCCATTAGGAGTCTGCTACTCTTTGAAAATAGTGTAGTGTTAAACCAAGTCATTCCATTCTCCTTTCTTTATACCTGAAAGAAAAGAGAGGGGCACCCTTTCAGTCTTTGAGAGACACAAAATGTAGGTGGCAGGAAATGAAGGTGGCTCTGCAAAGCCCCCTGCGCGTGGAAGGGCAGTAGAAGTGGTGGAGAATGTGCAGAACTTGTCAGCATTTCATGCCGAGCTGTGGGCATTGGTAGTTCTGGCTCTGAAGCCAAAGCCGCTATTCAGTACAAGCCAGCACGATCCCCTTGCAGTGAGTTTGGGGAATCTATTAGTTTTGCTCCTAAAGTCAGATTTCAGGCTCTCAGAAGAATGGTAGAGGGAGAGAGAGGAGGAGGGATAAATGAGAAAGAAGCTAGAAAAAGATTTGTTTTGATGGTAGAAAAAGAAAAATGAAAGCTCTTCATGGGTTTACTGAGGTAAGGTAGGGACTTCCCTGGTGGTCCAGTAGTAAAGAATCCTCCTTCCAATGCAGGGGACCTGGGTTCCATCCCTGGTTGGGGAACTAGGATCCCGCATGACGTGGGGCAACTAAGCCCGCATGCCACAACTACTGAGTTTGCACACCTCAACTAGAAAGCCTGCCTGCCGCAAACTACAGAGCCCACGTGCTCTAGAACCCGCGCACCACAACTACAGAGCCCACGTGCACTGGAGCCCACACACCACAAATAGAGAAGAGAAAACCCGCACGCCACAACTGGAGAGAAGCCTGCGTGCCGCGACGAAAGATCCCACATGCCTCAACAAAGATTCCACAACTAAGACCTAACGCCGCCAAAAATAAATAATAAATAAATCTTTAAAAAAGTACGTCTTTAAAAAAAAAGGTAAGGTAGAGTGCAGATACCTTGACCTGGCCGTTGTTTCACACCCCTGACTACCTTCCAAATTCTCACACACGTGCACACACACACACCAGACATACAGAACAATTCAGAGCTCTATTCTGGTCTGGAAAAATCTTTCCCCTGGGGCATCAGTAGCTTGCCTTGTGATGACAGGCTTAATGGTTTCATATCTCTGCATTCCACTGAGACCACCTACCCAGAGGCTATGCCCTACTGACCTGGTTCACCAGGGCCTGAGACTAAGCATGAGAACACGAGGACAGTGCCAGTCTAGGTGTCGGGGGAGCTATGTTCTGGTTTGGGCAAATCGTTTTGGTTGTTTTTGGGTTTTTTTTTTTGCGGTACGCAGGCCTCTCACTGTTGTGGCCTCTCCCGTTGCGGAGCACAGGCTCCGGACGTGCAGGCTCAGTGGCCATGGCTCACGGGCCCAGCCGCTCTGCGGCATGTGGGATCTCCCCAGACCGGGGCACGAACCCATGTCCCCTGTATCGGCAGGCGGACTCTTAACCACTGCGCCACCAGGGAAGCCCTGGGCAAATTGTTTTAACTTGCTGGGTGACTGTGTCCATGTTGCTGCTCTCTCTGTAATACTCAGGGTTCCAAATTATAAAATGGGGACCGGACCCATGGTTCTTATCTCCTAGAAATGTCATGAGACAGAGTAAATTATGGTCTTCCAGTGCTTATGCTTCTAGGAGGCAAGGAACTAGGGGAATCCTGTGCTTTTCTCTTTTTTTATTGAGATAGGGTTTCCTAGGCTCTCTATGCAAGCCCTTAGAAGACATTTAATCAGAGAATAGTCTGGAAAAAAGCAAACCTGCTCACAAAAGAAGAGAGAGCCTTGAAATCTCTTAAGTGTTTCCTTCCAAACAGGTCCAAGAGATTCTCTTATAGTTTCTGGCCGGCTACCTGGAGTAGGGAGATAGAAGTGGTTTATTTTTCTTTCTTCCAGTTTCCCTTTCTGGTCTGATCCCTCTGAGTGACACTGGTTGGGGTGGGGCCACAAGTTATGGGAGAAAACCATGTCCCAGCCACTCAAGTCTGCCTATTGGATAATAGATTGATCGGTCTGCCCTGTCGGTGGGTAAAAATAAAAGAGCAGCCTTTTTACTGATTTGTGTTTATTTGATTGTTTGTTTAAAGGAAGCCATGAGATATAATAGTGAATCAGCCCACCTGATTCAGTGCCCTCCGATGGTCTGGTCATGTGTGGTAAAGTACATCAGGAAGGGAACACCATGGTTTCCCAGTCATCTGCCTGCAGTACTAGAGTATGGAGGACCCAAGAACTAACAGAAGGTTTCTTGTCCTTGTAAAAGATCCTTGGGTTCTCAGTTGCTGTATTAGTCTCCTATTGTTGCTGTAACAAATTACTACAAACTTAAAACAACGCAAATGTATTCTCTTACCTTTCTGGAGGTCAGAAGTCTCATGAGGCCAAAATCAAGGTGTCGGCAAGGGTATGTTCCTCCTGGAGACTCTTGGGGAGAATGCAGCTGCTTGTCTTTTCCGGCTTCTGGAGGCCACCTGCGTTCCTTGGCTTGTGGTCCTTCGACTGTCTTCCAGGCGCATCACTCTAAGCTTTCTTTCCATCGTCACATTCCTCTCTAACTCTGACCCTCTGCCTTCCTGGCACAGGACCCTTGTGATTAAGCTGGGCCCCAGCCCTCTTCTTTCTTGGGCTTCTAAGGACTTCTCAGGCATAGGAGTTGCAGTCATTGTCAGGGCTGGAAGCTAGTGGGGAAGTACATTGATAAGAATCTTTGTAGCTTTTCTTAGGACAGGAGGCAGCCTGATATTATAGCCTTTTTGAGCCCCTTCCCCCATAAAGGTGTTGATGACCGTGGAAAGAACTAAGAGTCCAGGAATAAAAATCCAGTATGCCTGGATTATAAGAAACTCAGTTAAGGGTGAAAGCAGGCAGATGGGCTGATGGGACATAAAAGCAACCTAACTGACACCTTTCTCCTTCACCCCAATTTTGGAATTATTTCCCCAAGACACCACCATGCTTCCTATCCTTTAAAGCCTGTATTTTTAGTTTGGGGTATTTTCTATTGTTTGCAGGTTGCCTTGCAACCCGTTTGCCTGGAGGGTTTAAACAATATAGTTTCTTTGCTGAACAGCAACCGTAGCCAAGAGAGACCGAATATAAACCTTTAAGTCTGTTTTCTCAGAGTTCCTACATCAGCGATGGCTTTAAACAGAATAGCTTATGCCCCCTGGCTTGCTTCTCCCTGGGGGAGGGGAGAAGGGTGGCTGGTGGAGAACATTTTGTGTTCTCTTATCTTTCATACTAGTGGAAGGGGATAAGCACCAGAATAGGAAAACAAAATATCTGTCTATTAATATACCCTAAGTCCTCTAGCACATGGATTGGATTTGTTTATTTGTGAAAGAGAAGGATGCTTCTCTCTGACTGTGGCCTCCCCTGCCAGATGGAAGGGAACTGGCAGGCGTAGTGCCCTCCATAAGGTGAAGGGAATAGGCAACCAGGGCCTAACTTCTTACTTAAAAGAGAAAACTCTCAGCCTTTTCTCAAGAAAAATTGGTTTTCTGGCTCAACCTGCCTTAAGCCCCAGCAGCATCATTCAGGGAAACTAAGAAAGAAAGGGAAAAAAGCAGGAGGATTTACCATGAAAGAGCCAGAGAGTACCCCTACCTCCCCACTAGACATGTGCATCCATCCCCCTCCTTGTGTCCAGCCTGGGGAGCCAGAGGTCTGGAGAACCTTGCTGGAAGAAAGGACACGCAGTTTCCTCAGAACAACCACTTAACTGGCAGTGAGGAAGGCAGACGCAGGAGCGTTTCCCTCCCCAAAGGATAAGCCCTGCAAAGAGAAAAGCAGCCCTGCTGAGCTCAAATTCAGGGGCACTGTCCTTTAATATATTCCCTTGGATCCGTTAGTGGTTATCCGTTAGTAGAAGGAGTGCCCAGAGTCGACAGTTTTCTAAAGGAGTAGATGGCTAGTTAATGATAAGCCTTCTAGTTGGAAAAAAGCCAGAAGGGAAGAGATTTCTTTCGGGAACAGGAACATACATGTGCCTAGGAGCCCCGTGCCTGCCATGTCTGGACAGAGGTTCAGAGCGCCCTTTGGCTGCCAGAAGAGGTCTCTGCTTGCCACCCACCAGGGTCAGGCTTTCTCAGGTCCTGGAGAACATTTTGATTAGCAGGAGTCCCAGGCAGACACGGAGAGAAAGAAGAGAGCAGCATTGGCAGGGCCCGCCCTCTCCAAGAGCAAATGGGGACAAAGGTCGGTGTACTTACAGCTGCCCCTCCCAGCCTGCCCGCCTGCCAGCCAGGCCAGATGCCCCAGGTTGTCCCGGCGTTGCTACATGATGCAGGAATCTGTCATCTTTGTGCCTGCTGGGTCACCCATTACCCCAGATCCAATTCCCAGGCAGGGAAGGTTAGGACACGTGAGCAGAAGCAAAGGCTTTGGCATTCAATAGCTTTAAAACAGAAATGCCGTCATGTCTTTACCTGTTCAGTTGGGAGCAAAACATGTTTGTTAGGGGTGTGATGTGGTATTGTGGAATAAGTACGAGAGGAAAGAATCTGTGAGCTGCCCATCTGAGAGGAGGGCTCTCTGTACAAACCATGGTTCTTCAGGCACTTTTAGAATGTGAACAGACTTTCTTTGTGATGATTTCTTATCCTACATTTCACTGCCAGCCCAGCATGTTTGAATTTGTCTCGGCTTCAGCAGGTCTGAGTATCCATTGGGATTCTCTGTGAGAATTTAAACAACTTGGAGGCCACTGAGGTTACCACGTATAACCAGATCTGGCACAGATTTGGCATGAGAGTAAGCAGGAGACAGAAGCTTTGTGTGTTATGAAATCATTGAGGCTGTAGCCCACAGCCCTTCGTGTTTGGGATTACAATTAGAATCGCTGTTATTTGTTTGTTCGTTTTCTGTCTTTGTACCTAAGAGTGGGCTTCAGCTAATGAAATAATGGTGATATAGAAGCTAACATTCATCAAGGCACTGAACTAAGCACTCTCCTTGAATTATCTCATTTAATTTCCACCTCAAACCCATGAGGCAGACGTGACATGATCCCCGTTTAAAGGTGAGGATCCAGGCTCAGAGAAACTGAGTGACATGCTTAAGATGATCTGCTATATTCATCTGGGATTATGACTTGCTAGCACCGTATTCTGAACATAGAGGAAGAAAGAATCTGAGAACAAGTATTTCTGAGGGCTGCAATTGTGTACAGGTTTCTTGGAAGCTAGGGCCCTCTTGATTTATGCTCCATGGGGCCATCTGGGGAAGTTGTTTAGCTTCAGAGGTGATAGATGAGGGCTGGGTCACTTCTGTTTGCAGAGCATGGGTTGAAGGGTAAGTCAGGACAACATTTCTTCTCTGGTCCCCATCAGGGACTCCACAGGCCAACCTCTGTGGCTGTGTTTATATCATTATTTTTAAGGCATCAGCACCAGCACAGCAGCTCTAAGCTCTCTCTTCCTTTAGCCATCCTCCATGTGGAAAGAAGCCAAATGGGAGAATTTCCCCAACCATTTCCCTTCAGTGCAGCTGGTACCAACTTGAAACCTAAGACATTTAACACTGCAGCCCAGCTGAAGCCTGGCTAAGCCGTATTTCTTAGACACAGCAGGAAGCCGTTCTGTGCTCTAGTATCAAGAACCATCTCAGGGCCCAGGGCAGGCTCTGCTTCCTTGGTTTGACCCCAAGAGGTCAGCTGGCTGATGAAGCCCATCAGAAGTACTTATGTAGACTAGGACCGTCAGCTGCAGCTTACCAGAAGAGACGGGAGAGGATGCCCAGGATTTTCATATTTAATTGAAAAGTAGTGTCTTTGGAAAAGGGGGTGGTAGAGGAGTTCCTACAGCATTGAAAGAACTCCCTCCACTTGTTGCTGTGGGAGGGTAGCGTAGATCCAGCTGCTTCAGAGCCATTCATTATCCTTCATCCTGGCAAGTGGAACTCTTCTATGGATAGGCACTGTTGGTAGTGAACCCCTGGCTCTCCCGGCTGCCCCCACAGGTCACAGGGCCCTCCAAGCTGATGCTCCAGCGTGGTGACCAGAGTCTGGTTCCATCCTCTGTCACCCAGACCACACACATCAGCTTTGCCCTATTCTGTGCTTCTGAATTACACTCACTGGCAACCAGCACCAGCTCTCCCCTCCCAGTGCCCTGATATCCTCTGGTTAATAAGCAGCTCACATAAAGACACCAAGAACTATTGCAAGAGGGGGAGAAAAGCTGAGGCTCTGAATACAGGCCAGGAAGCCCTGGACTTGGCCCAGGAACTCGGTGGCTGTTTCTGTTCTCTGCCCTTTGGTAGCCTTCCTCACAGGTTATAGAAGGAAGAGAAGCAGGAATGCTTCATCTAAAGCTGTAGTGGACCATAAAGCAATGATGTATTTATCTATCAATGAGAGACTCTCACTGAAGCCTGAGGTCCCTTCATGGAGACTATTAGTCCTCTCCAGAAGAGACCAACTTTCTGCCCTTTATCCTTTCAAACCTATTTCTAGAAGAGTCTTAGGTCCCTGTTAATTAAAGCACTAAGCGCCCCACTTCCCTCTCTCTCCTGTCTTTCTGAGCTGCCCAGATGGCACTCTTCCCACCTTCACCTTCATCTCCCATACTGTGTTTTATCTCCCAAGGTTTGGAGATGTCCTTGAGACGTCCCTGTGGAAGGAACCAGTGGGGACTATGTGCCTGAGCCCCCCTCATTGTCATTTTGGTCTGAATCAAATTCTGCAAGGGAGCTGGAACCCTCTCCTTGGGCCTGCCCATTGTCAAGGTCCTGGTCACCTTTAAAGCCTCCTGCAGGGATTCCCACTGCCAATGGATCCTTTTCTGAAGCCCAGCACTGTGACATTTTAGACTTGGAAATCCCTAGACAAATATGTCTCACTTAATCCTCACCACACTGGAGACTCTCACTTGGCCAAACTTAACAAGTACCACTAGTTCTTGCAGCAAACGTTCCCCGTGTTCCAGGCATTGTGTTCAGGGCTGGGAAAAGGATAAACAAGGTAAGGTTCCTGTCCTTGAGGTGCAACCAGCTATTAGAAGAGACACATGAAACAGGAGCTCCCCTCTCACTCGAAATGCCTCATACCCAATGTTCCTTTAACTTTCCCAGGCTCTCTAAGGCCCTGCTCTTTCACCATTTACCAGCTCTGTAACTTTAGCTCAGTTGCTTGCTCTAAGCATCAGGTTGCTCATCTGTAAAATGGGTTTGTTAATAGTATATATCTACCTTGTAGAGATATTATGAGGATTATATGAAACCACTTATTTGTAAGGCACATAGGGCTAAATAAATGCTGGCTGTTACTATCTTCCTCCTGAGGATAATGTTTGCCAGGAAGAGTGGTAAAAGCAGGGAGAGCTGGGTTTGAACCCCAGTTTCCCCACCCCACTGATACTGTATGCTTATGGGCAAAAACTGTTCTCTCTGAGCATCAGTTTCATGGGTGATAATTTACTTAATTAGAGTAAATTAATTGATATATGTGAAAGTACCTCACATATATAGCAGGAGTTCAACACATTCGCCCCTTGGAACTTCTTAAGTATCTGAAGACCCTAAAGCTCCAAGGATCCAGAAGAGACGCAGAAAGATGCTAGCGCCTCCTTTAGGAAATGTCCCCCATTCCCCTGGTTAATCCTTAAAGCATGACCCTCCCCTATTTGGTTCTCGTTCAGCCAGAGAGGCTGCTCCGTGATCAACTGTGTCCCTCCCTCTGTGCTCTGTGCTTCTGTACTAAGTACCTGGAGGCCCTTGTCCTGTCCACACTCAGGCATCACTTGGCCCAGATATCCATTGAGCTCCTCTAATCTTTCCCCACAACTCAGTCTCCCCCTCTCCTCACCCTCCACTTCATCCCTTGTTCCCCTAGCTTCTTAATCAAATTAAGGGAAAGAAGAGGATTTAGATAGGGTTACTAAATATGTTTCTGTTCAGGGGAGGGAGGAACAGAGGAGTCTGGAGGAGGAGGCAGAGTGTGAAATTCCTTAATGGAATGTGCTCTGAGAGCCTCCTTTCTCTAGAATAAGCCCCAGAATCGCCTATCTGGATAGAGTTTTCTCTTTGGCAAAGTGCTTTCACAAACATTATCTCATTATGATACAGGCCCAGGTGGCAGAGTGCCCACTCCCCGGAAAGGTCTGCCGAGGCCATCATGCCTCACAAGCTGGTCTGACCCTGGTCTACATATTTCACAGGACACCCTGGCCTCACAGGGGTGACTCGGCTTTCTGTGGAGCACGACACCCGCGGAGGGGCCACTCACAGATGGAGGTCACAGTTTTCCCTTCTGTGTTCTCCCCACATCAGATTTGGAATCTCTGGAAAATTTTTACCTTTTAAAAATGATAACGTGCTTATTGTAGAGATTTTTGAAAACACAGTAACTTGTAAAGGAGAAAACAAAAATCACCCATAATCCACAACTTAACTGCTGGTAATGTTGTGAGGTAGCTCCTTTACGTGTTTTTGAAATGCATGCATATATTTGTGTATGTGTGTGTGCATTTGAAAAATGGGATTATATGCACACACATTATTTGTATTCTGCTTTTATATTTAATATGTTATTTTTGTGTTCCATTTCATCAAAAACTCTTCTGAAATATTATTTTAAAATAGCGTGAATTAGGATTTTTCCTTATTAAAAAATTATGCATGTCCATTATGAAATAATCATTGCCCACATTGATTGAGTCTCGTAATCAGCCAGAAACCCTGATCACATGATCACATTTAATTCTCACAGCAGCTCTCCTGGGTAGATACTGATAAACTCATTTTACAGGTAAATAGAGTGAGGCCTTGGAGAGGTAAAGAACTTGCCCCACTAGTAAAGACTTAAAATGCCCATGGGATTTCACACACATTTTTGGACCAAATTGCCTATACCAATGACCATATTCAATAACTGCATCATATTCTCCAATGTGGGTTTATCATGATTAACTATTCTCTTTTGTTGGACATTTCAATTATTTTTTTGTTGTTATAATGAAGCAATGATCATCTCTGCATAAAACCATCTTTGTTCACATCTCTTGTTATTTCTTTAGTCATTTCCTAGAAGAATTACTGAGTCATCATTTTCAAGTCTTGTTACTTATTACCAAGTGACTTTCCAGAAAGCCAGTATGCACTCCCACCAGCATGCGTAAGATAAGTCCCTCTTTAAAAACAATTCAGTTTGGTAGGTGGAAATTGTATCTCTTTGATTTGATTTGCGTTTCCTTGATTACTAGTGAGGTTGAACTCTTCTCTCACGCACTCATTAGTCAGTTGTAGACCCATGAGTAAGCATCACAGAGAGCAGCTTGTCCTTCCTGCTGGCACTTACTTCTCTCTTGCTTTCACTCACTGTCTCTGTTGATTTTGAGTTTCAATCTGGACCCAGATAATTTAGGAGTGCATCAGCAAGGAGAAATTTTTTCATATTCAACATACCCAGGAGGACTTGGGTCTTAATGAAGAGTTGGGTCCCCATTTTGCCCCCTGCCCCCTCTTCTCACCCTCAGCCACACTGTGTAGCTCCCTCAGAATTACCCCACCTCAGAGCAAAGGTCAGATTTCAAGATTTCTCAGACCATTCTAGAGACAGTATAGTTTTATTCAGGAAGTAACTGAGCTAGAGCGCTGCTTTCTCTTCCCAAGAAACTTCCGTTCCTTTTGTTCTCAGGGGAGGTGAGACGGGGATGGGGCCAGGAATAAGAAACTGGCGTTCACAGCCCCTTGGCTGAGGCTGCCTGAGTTCCCCCTACCGAGCTTTGTGACAGGGACCCCACCCTCCTCCCGTCTTTGAGGAGCCCTTTGATCCCTCGAGTTAGGGAGGAATGCACTGTCATTTCCGATGGGTTGTGTAACCCTCTCTTCTGCCTGGAGCATGAGAAGCACAGAAGGTGCAGCAGCCCTGAGAGAGGCAGGTGCCAGCGGGTTAGTCACGTGCACCCTCAGAGTCCTGGAGGAGTTTGCACAAGAGTTCCTCGATTCAGCTCCAGCCTGAAATGCTGTCCGACAGGTGTGTTCACTTTGGGTTCAATCCTGCACCGCACTCACCCCGTCCTACCTGCTGTTCCTGGACCACCAAACGCTTCCTGCCAGGCTCCACATTGGGTTGTTCTCTTGCTGCCATCAGAGAACTTAGGAATCTCTCTTCTATGGACTCTCTCTCCTCTGCCAAGCTCCAGCTTTTAGCCCCCGGCGTCCCCCATCCTCACCTCCACTTAGATCTTCCACCCAGGTTGTTGGACATTCAGTTCTGTCAGGTGTTCCCTGCATGGAGCCAGAGGGGACTTTGAATCACTCCAGGCAGGGGAAGTGGAAAAAAGCAGAAATTTGGCCTGAGGACTGGACAGTAAGACCAATAAGACCTTTCCTCAGCCTCTTGATGTAACTCCTTTGTGTTTTTACATCAAAATCGTGTCTTTGACTCTATTCCCTACTTGGAGTCGTGTTACAGAAGGCTCCCTTCTGTTAAACTAGCCTATCTGAGCCCCAGTACATGGGTGGGGATGTTCCACACCGTGAAAATGTTGGCACTTATGAAGGGACAGTAATTATGAAAGGCATCAGAAAGCCAAAAACGGCACTCTGCTTGTGCTGGTAGGGTTTCAGAAGCATCATCTTTGAGTAGAGTAGCAGTTAGGATTTGGGAAACAAAGGTGTAGAGGTCATGCTTCTGACCCTTATGGGGTCATAACAATATAAAGTTGGACTGCAGGCCAAACAAGTGG